ATATTGCTAAATCTATAAGTCAGTCAGTCAATCAATCAAGTCAAGTTGTTAGTCAAAGTCAGAAATTCAAATGAAAAGTATCTAATAGATTCAAAAAATGAGACATCTGCATATAAACTTTAACATACATACATATATATGATGGTAACAAAACAAAAACAAATAAATGCATATATTATTAACAAATACAAAAAAAAAATAAATGAATTATATATATAAAAACAAATTATATATGAAAGTATAAACAAAAAAACCAAAATAAAAAAGTAATAATTATAAATAAAAAAAATATAACAAAAAAGTGTTTTATTTCAAGTTTATAACTGTAATATTATTAATCGAATTTTTCTATGAATTTTCTCTATTGATCAAGTTTAGCTAGGGTTAGCAGTAGTGTTGCCAGGAGCTTCAGTAAAGCTTTCAGAAACAAATAAGAGTGTTATATTCGGTTGTGCCGAATGTACCAGTCATAGAGGAAAAAGGTTCAAAAAATCGTTTCCTCCAGATTTGTGTTAACTTAGGGCTCTTAATGTTTAATTTTATGTTTCTTGGTTCAATATTATAAAAAATTAAAAAAGTACTTTTTGAAAAAGTGCGAAAAAATCCACTTTTATGTGTTCGCACCTAATCCGGTCTCTACATACTAAATTTCATGTTTCTAGATTCAATATTATAAAATTTAAAAAGTACCTTTTGTAAAACGCAAAAGTATGAAAAAGACCTTTTTTTATAAATTCTCACCTTATCCGAGCCCTATATACTTAATTTCATGTCTCTAGGTTCAATATTATAGAAAATTCAAAAAGTACCTTTTCAAGAACGAAAATGTATCAAAAAATCCCCTTTTATAGGTTGTCACTAACTACGCGCCTTACATGCTTAATTTTATGTTTTTAGGTTCAATATAGCAGAAAATTCAAAAAATACCTTTTGAAGAACGAAAAAGTACCAAAATATCACCTTTTATAGGTTTCCACTTACTCCGGGCCCTACATACTTTATTTTATGTCTCTAGGGTCAATATTATAGGAAATTCTAAAAGTACCTTTTCAAGAAAGAAAAAGTACCAAAAAATATCCCCTTTTATACGTTATCACCTAATCCGGTCTCTACATACATTTTATGTTTTTAGTTTCAATATTACAGAAAATTCAAAATATAACTTTTGTAGAACGAAAAAGTACCAAAAAGTCCCCTTTTATAGGTTCTGACCTAATCCGAGCTCTACATACTTAATTTCATGTTTCTAGGTTCAATATTATAGAAAATTCAAAAAGTACCTTTTGTTCCAAAAAGTCCCCTCTTGTGTGTTCGCACCTAATCGGGGCAAGTACACTAAAAACATTTACCGTATGATCATGTTGTTTGTTTACAGTTTGTTACAGAGGATAACCTTTTTAAAAGGCTAGGAATGGCACTTGATCCGAAACATCGCAACTTTAATAGAATTTTTTCAAACCGGTTTATAACGAACTAGGTTATTACGAATGATCGGTTATTACGAACTATTTTTCAATTCCCGACATTTTTATAGCTATTTTAATGCAAAAACATTACTTAAAACGAACTTGGTTGTAAGCAATCCTAGGATAAAACCAATTACTTTTTCAGTTCCTCAAGTACAATTTTATACAATTAATTACGAAAATGTTGCTATATTTGTATACCCTACACCAACTTTCTATGTGTCCAAGCTAACTCAAGAATTGTTCCATTATTTTATCTAGTCCCCATGCAACCATACCTCTTAAATGTTTTAAATGTTTTTGTAGCTCTCAAAAAATCGGATAAACTAAGTTTTATATGTATAAGTCTAAATGATACGCATATGATCGGGAATCATTTTACCCTAGCCCCCATACAAAGTCCCTTTCAGAAAATGACTTAAAGGTCAAAACGCTTATATAACGATGAAATTCTGCATAAATAAATTTAATGTGGACGTAAATCCCTCTACCATAATTTATAAGGATAGGTCCATATTAAAGAGAAGATAGAAGAATGTTCATTTTCCTTATCTTTACAACGGAGAGAGTATTCATTTAAGGGGAGCCCAAGCCGGCTTAGCATCTAGTGTCCTGTTATTGGTGCCAGCAACTTCGATATATCTCGAATATTTCATGTCTAGATTATTCCATCTATTTTCAACATTTTGAATAAAAGTACTTTTGATAAAACCTAATTGGGTTGCTTCTGAAACGCCGTTGGAGATATGCAGAGGGATTCCGTTCTGACTTGGCTCATATGCCTGTTCATTTCCATTGCAGTTCCGCTGATCCCAAACTATGCCAATGTCAGACAGAAGTGTCGCTTGGCTATCGACAAAAATTCCTATGTATAATGATCTATACTATTTCCATAAAATTTTCATAGACAGTAGAGGTGCCCAAAATTATAGATTTTCTTTAATTGGATCTTATTTTGTTCATTAGCATCTAATACTTTGATGAAAGACCCCATTTTGGTGTTATTGCAATCCCGGGGAAAAGAGGTGTTACCGGTACCACTACGCTGCCGGGACTATGATCTAATGTATTATCGGCCTTTGCTTGGAATGATTTAACATGGGATCGAACCAGAGAATTAAATAATCTGGTACCACGGGAACCTGTAGCCCGTAGGTTTTTCGGATTTTGTCTTGTTCCAGTTATTAAAGAGGTCCCATGTCGGTTAAAAGACTGATACACGGTAAAGTCTATAATACGGGATAAGTTTGGAGCTGTTACCAAAGCAACAGATCATCCACAGAGGAGTGGCTGTGGGACTAAGCGTTGGAAATAAGTTGGTGTTAAGTGTATATGATATAGGATGAATGTAGGGGTAAACGAAACTTAGTGAATGTGTCGGATATTGTTCTCTATGAGTGTGTCGAATGACTGAGAAGTGTGCTGGGTTGAATGGTGATGGATGAAATGTATCTTATACAAGTGATACCATTGAATTTTCTTTCCTTGTCCAGCTATGTTCAGGGTATACTATGTTCATACCAGAATAACCACAGTGTGTAATAACAAGTCCGCGGCTCATTTTTTCGGTTTTTGGGTTAACCGAATTTGCGTGGTTGTAAACGTAACGGATGTTTAAGCATCTCGGAAGTAAAGCAACGAGGCAGCCACGATCAGAGATTAGATAGCTTGAGTACTTGAGAAAAATGCTTGTGCTTGGACCGGCAGAATCTTATACAAAAATTGCCACCGGCGTGTAAGAAGCACAATGGGGCGATGGAGAGTCGTCTAGTGAACTCATCCTACTCTTCGATATCTTTCGGCCCATCCTAATGATCATGTTTAAACACAATTTTACAAAACTGAAGATCGACTTTTTCAAACTAACTAAATTTAACCAACAGTTAACAACAGTTTGTTCCGATTTCATACACGGTATACTTAACAAGGTACCAGCACTTGAGAGCAACCGCACGATTGTCAAATTTTTTTTATATGGAGTTTGACAATCATGCGTTTTATACCTGTATACAAGTCTATATATAAACAAGTTAGAGTGCTATATTCGGCTGTGCCGAATCTTAAATACCCTCCACCAGCAAGCTATTTTTAATTAAAACCCATTTAACTATCTAATTTATAAATAACTTGGCAAAATTGTTGTTTCCGTATTGATATGCACATGTCAATCTAATTTTAATTAAGTCCAGAAAAATTCATATTAATAGGCCAGTTCGAAAAAATTTGATGATATATCTATACACAAAACATATTCGTGTCGAATTTTATCCGGATATAATCATTTAATAACGAATTAAGTGGTATTAAGTGATTTTCAGAAGTAAACATTATATGGGAGCTAAGACAACTTATGGACCGATCCGAAAAAAAATTTCGTAGAATGATTTATATGCTCACAAAACATATTCAAGTCGTACTTTATCCCGATAGCTTTATTATTCAAAGAAATATATGCGTTTAGGTGATTTTTGTAAGTGGACCTTATATGGGACCATATTTGTGTCGAATTTTATCATGATAACTTTATTTGACAATGAAATATGTACATTTAAGTGATTTTCGGAATTGGGCCTTATATGGGATCTATGATTTATATGTACACAAAACATATTCAAGTCGAATTTTATCCTTATAGCTTTAGAATTTTATGAAATATATGCGTTTAAGTGATTTTCGGAAGTGGACCTTATATGGGAGCTATGACCAATAATGGACCGATCCGTAAAAAATTTGGTAGAATTATTTGTATGTACACAAAACATAGTTTAAGTGATTTTCGGAAGTTTGCCTTATATGGGAGCTATGACCAATAATGGACCGATCCATAAAAAGTTTAGTAGAATGATTTGTATGTACACAGGACATATATGTGTCGAATTTTATCACAATAACTTTATTTATCAATGAAATATGTGCGTTTAGGTGATTTTCGGAAGTGGACCTTATATGGGAGCTATGACCAATTGTGGACCACCTGAGATCTACGTTAATATTATGATTTCTGTTCATATTATATTTGCTTGTACAAAATTTTGTGTTGATACCGATATATTTGAGGGAGTTATTAACGATAAACTAATTTCCGGGAATATATACCTTTGTATGGTGGCTATGGGAAATATTGGATCGATTGTAAAGATTTTCAACATAATTAATCACTGCGTTGAAAAAATAATGTGTGACAAAATTCATCGCAATATCTTTGATAGTTTCAGAGAAAACTTCAAAAGAATTAAGCTACGTTCACACCTATCAAATGTTTGACGAAAATGACGTGACATAATATATCTTTGACGACATCAGTTCAGAACGTCTTTATTATTTGTTTCGACAGTATTTGCAATTACAAAAATCATACAGAATCAAAAAAAAAAAAAAAATTACAAAAATTAGTCTTTTCATCAAATGTTTTATAGGTCTGAACGTAGATTTAGGAAAAAAAACGCTCAAACTTAATTTATATAATAAAACAATTAATGTTTTTTTATTTTACCACATAGAATTCTTTATTTAAAAGCAAAATTTTTAACATGATTTGTTTGTTTGTTGTCGTTCCAATTTTTTTCAAGGAAACGTTATTGTTTGTTCATCATTAAATCGTTCTTTATATATTTTATTTAATGTTAGTAATTAATTAAACACATTTACATATAATTTTTTTTTGTTTGGGATTTTACATGAATAATATTTAGTTTTTCTTTTTCACCTTTACTATTTGAGTTATCAATGAATATATAGTTTCTTTTTTTCAAATACAACATTATTTAAAATTATAATTATTTTCTTTTAAAACAAATATTTTTCTAATGACAGTTTATAGTTGGATGTTAAAGTGCTGTTTACTAAAAGTTCAAAATTTCAAATTTTTTTTAATTTAAGTTTCAAATGTGTGCTTGATTAGATGATATTTTTGTATAATTAAAACTTGTTTTTTAAATTTCTCAAGATTACAGATTTTAATATTTTATATTCAAAGTTGAAACTATTTTTGTTAAAAAGATTTCTAATAAATGTGGTATTTTGGAATTAAAATTTATATGGATATTTTTGCTTACTACTTTTAATAGTTGTTGTTAAATTGAAGAAGAAGTTGTTATTATTAGGGGAAAGTTTGTGGCCCTCATTAGTTTTTTTATATGATTTTTTTTATATATTTTGTTTTAATATTAAGTTTTCTTTTTGTTTAATAGTGAAATTGTTTGTACCTTTGATAGTAAAATTGTATTTTAATATTTACTTTATTTGTTTGTTTTTCTTTTCAGCTACTTTATGGAAAATATTTGTTTAATAATGTTTTTGTTTTTAAGTAATTGTTAAAAAAAGGTTTTAATAACTTTTTTTTAAGTAAAATTGTGTTTTTTTATTTTTTAAAAATATTTTATTTTTTTATTTAGAAAAAATCCCTGAATGTAATTTTGCTTTTCGTACAAAGAGTTTTTTTTAATAGTAAGTATTTATTTTTAGTTTTTTGTTAAATAAAGAAATTTCAAAAAAATTAATTAAAACCTAAATGTAAATTTCAATTTGTAATTCTAAATTTTCCAAGAAAATCTTTTTTTATTTGTTTCCAATTTTATTTTGAATTTAATTTTAATGTCACATTAGAGCCAAACATTAATTTGTTTTATTTATTAAATTATCAATTTACGTTTATCAAACGTCCTAATATGCGGTTTGCAACTGCAATCATCACATCATGTGCTGTTTTATTTCTTTTATTATTATAATTTATTATGTCTTTTTTAATTATAAATTTTTAATTTTTTAAGAAAATTATATTTTTAGAGGGAGTTTTACAAAATATTTTCTTTTTTGTTTTTCTTTGCTGGAATAGTTTTTATGTTGTTGTTTTTTCAAATTTTCAAAACTGCAAAACATTTTATTTTTTCGTTTTTCTTCGTTTTGCAGTTGGTTGCGGAAAATTCTATTTATTTGGCAACTCTGGTGGACAGTCCGGTTGGTTGGAGGGATGAGCCGCACGAAAAGCTGGATTACTCTCCAATTCACGATCGATACGCAAAATGATGGGATAAGGACGTAAATCAACATGGAATCTGAAAAAATAACAAAGAAATTAAACATTTTTAAAATTAAATACAAATGTGAACTAATTCCGACCGATCCCCAGAAATTTTGGTACATTGAACCGTATTTATATCAAATTAGTAAGAGTATAAGATTGTCAACATACTACTCCATAGAATAATAGACTAGTCATGAAACTTGTAAGCAGACTAGAGCGTAGAGTAGTCAATGAAATAGTCCATCGACTGGACAATAGACTATTCAATAGGCTAGAGAACAACTAGTCCTCTTAATAATCAATAGTCCATAGTGTAGTCAGTACTTTAGACCATTAACTTATCAATATACTAGTCCATACGCTAGTCAACAGAATAGACCATAGACTATCGAAGAAGAACTAGTACAAATACTAGTCAATAGACTACTCGCATAAATTAGTCCATATACTAGATAATATACTGGTCAACATACTAGTCAATAGACTGGTCCATATACTAGTCCATAGACTGGTCTGTAGACTAGTCCATACTTTAGCTAAGAATTAGTCTAAATACTAGTCAACGCCAATAAACTGGTAGATAGAATAGTCAATAGATTGGTTAACAGACCAAAGACTTACTAGTCAATAGTCTATAGTGTAGTCAGTAGTCTAGTCAATAAACTAATCTATATACATATATTAGTCCATATACTAGTCAATAATCTGGTCCATGTACTAGTCTATAGACTGGTCAGTAGACTAGTCTACAGACTGGTCAATAGGCTAGTCTACAGACTGGTCAATAGGCTAGTTCATAGACTAGCGAAGAACTAGTCCAAATACTAGTCAATAGACTGATACTCGAATAAATTAGTCCATATACTAGACAATAGACTCGTCAACATACTATTCAATAGACTATTCCATATACTAGTAAACAACTAGTCCACATACTAGTCAATAGTCCATAGTATAGTCAATAGTCTAGCCCAGAAACTATTCAATATACTAGTCCATAGACTATTCAATAGACTGGTCCATAGACTGGTCTTTAGACTAGTCATTAGACTAGTCCATAGTTTAGCTAAGAATTAGTCTAAATACTAGTCAACGCCAATAAACTGGTAGATAGAATAAAAGACTTGTCAACAAGTCAACAGACTGGAGAACAACTAGTCCACTTACTAGTCTATAGTGTATTCAGTAGTCTAGTCAATAAACTAATCTATATATATTAGTCAATAAACTGGTCCATGTACTAGTCTATAGACTGATCAGTAGACTAGTTTACAGACTGGTCAGTAGATTAGTTCATAGACTAGCGAAGAACTAGTCCAAATACTAGTCAATAGACTGATTAACAGATTAGTCAATATACTAGTCAATAGATTAGTCCATAAACTAGTCAATAGACTGGTCCATAGACTTGTCAATAGACTAGTCCATAGTCTATCTAAGGCGTCAACGCCCATAAACTAGTAGATGGACTAATCAATAGACTGGTCAACAGACAAAGGACTAGTCAACTAGTGAACAGACTAGGGAACAACTAGTCCACTTACTAGTCAATAGTCTAGTCCATAAACTAATCAATATACTAGTCCATAGACTAGTCAATAGACTGGTCCATATACTAATCCATAGACTGGTCAATACACTAGACAGTAGACTAGTCCATAGTCTAGGGAAGAATTAGTCCAAATACTAGTCAGCTCCAATAAACTACAAAATAGACTGATCAACAGACTAGATCAGAGAGGAAATCGTTAAATCTACTCAAAAGTTTTCCGAGTCAATCGAACATCACTACAGTCATAAAGGATATAAAAATACGATTTTACAAAATCCTTTAAAAAAAAAACTTCTTACCTGCGTGCATTAAAAACTTGAGGAACCAAACAACAATCAGCCATGGAAATTTCATCACCCACACAGTACTTGCCAGCTGAAGTCGATAGAACCTTTTCGACAGCCCTAAAACCACGGGTAATCCAATGTTGAGCCCATTCTTTTTTCTTCTCCTCGCCGACATGAATCAAAACGATAAGATTTTGTAAAGGTTGAATGCCCGAGCAGATAATTTCACAAATCTCACGAACTTTGGCACGTTTGTGAACATCTTGAGGCAAAAGAGGACGTTGAGGGCGTGTCTCCTCCAAATAATGCATAATAGCCAAAGATTCAATTAACGTATGGCCATCTATAGAATTAAATACATATTTAATATATAAAATAAATAAAACAAATTTCAAATTCTTACCAATTTGCAAAGCTGGTACTTGTTCCATGGGATTAACCTCACGATATTCATTGCAATGCTGTTCACCGCCCGATTTAATCAAACTAATGGGTTTAATATCATAAGGAATTTCCTTCAAATTCAAAGCAATGCGCACACGCCAAGAACAGGAACTGCGCCAATACGAATAAAGTATTGGCTTTTCATCGGAAGCAGCAGCCGCAGCGGGAGTAGAAAGTACAGTATTAGTGCTCATATTTAAATGGTTTTTAATTAAATAACAACTACGATCTTTGAAAAACAACGACGACCTGTTAGTCTCAACTGTTTTTCTCAAATGTGGTTGAAGTTTTGTCCACATGTATCTCATGTTGTGGAATTTAAAAAAAAACAAATTTAATTTATTCCAAAAATAAATCTGGATTTTCTAGTTCAGTTTCTAGTATTTTAAATAAAATTTAAATTTTTTTTATTTTCTTTAAGAAAATATGTATCAGTAAATATATTCTGATAAGAGTGTGGTGTCTCTTAATGGTAATTAACCGGTTTTTGACTTAATTTTATTATTTTGTTTTTATTTTACATTTATTATTAATATTAAATCTTATCATTTGGAAGTTGTTCAACTTAATAGATACAATTTTAGTTTGTTCGTTGTTTAGCTTTTTATCAAATTGTATAAGTTTTGTTTGTTTTTTCTTTTTGCTCAAAAGAAAATAAACATTAAAACAAAATGCCTTAAAAATAGTGTAAATAGTAAGTATTAGGTATAATATTGTGGACATCAGCTGATTTGTTTTGGAATGTATATTACATATTTTGAATAGTAATGACAATTTAAGCCACAAAGTATGTATTGGATTTTTACGAGAAACTTTTTTTTCCAATTAAATCATACTAATGCTTAGTTTTTACTGATTTTACTGGTTTCGAACAACAATATTCTTATAAGTCTTTCTGATATACATAATATGTGTATATTTGCCTCCCAAAGATGTCTGGGACCTTCAGAAAATTGTTTTCAACATATATGCAGACATCACCATCGTTACTTATAACGATTTTCAGTATTCATTTATACTTTATATGGTCTCGGAATTAATTTACCTTTCTCGCTCGGAAAGCTTTATTTGCGTAGTTCGTTTGTATGGAGGATAGATGAAATAATGTAAAAATTTTGAACCATTTTTAATAGCTATCATGTTACATATTTCATTTAATTATCTTTAAAATTGCGACCTGTAGTTTGATGTATGACGGACCGACATCGTTAAATCGACTTAGGAAATTATTCTGAGCCAATTGGCATACTTTAAGACCAACATTTCCATACGTTACAGTCATCAGATCAAATCATATTACCCATTATTACCCATACTAAGGTATTCATTAAAACTTTTAATTTCAGAAAATGTTATTATGTTTTGACCGTTACCAGTATCAGATTTAATCTCATTTCTAACTTAATTTTAATAATTCTCATTTAGTTGATAATATTTTTATTACTATATGTGTTTAAATCCGAATACGTAGGTAATCTGAAATCAATTCCATTTTGGGATTAATTCAATCTTTTTTACACACTTAAATCAATCTACTTTTTATCTCAAATCAAATATGCATTTGCGATTAAATCAATAAGCACATTGTAAGATCATTTTGATCCGAAAACTTAACGTACTTTTGAAACTCTTCGGATTGATTTGAGTACTCAATTCTTTTTTTGAGTGTACTTATATCAATGTTATTTTTTATTTACTTTATAATCGAAAGCATTTAATATACATACATATTTTAGAGACTTCATTGATTCATGTTTGAGTCAACGTTTCGAGATATCATGGAGGTTTTACCTGAAAAATCTGTGCTGGTGTAATTTGATAGAGACTAAAATCCGACTTAGGTAGACTAAAAGCTTTTGAGTGTGAAATCCGATAATTCAGCATAAATAACTTTTATATAAACATAAATCCTTCCACCAATTTTTTCGAGGATCGGCCCATATTTAACCCTATCCCCCATATAAAGCATCCTTTAGAAAATCAGTTTTTGAACAATTTTGTATTAAGACAAGTAGGAAAGTATAGTCGGGCATGGTCGACCATATTATATTTAATAACAAAGCATTTAAGTTGTTTACCTTTATTCCGAAATATTTTAACAATTTGTTGAAAAAGGTGATTTTCTAAAAGAGGAGTTATATGGGGGCAAAGGTAAATATGGGCCTATCCTTATACATTTTGGTACATGGCTTTACGTTTACATTAGAGTTATGTGTCTGGATTTTATCGTGATACTAGTGTTTATTAGTGAATTATTGACCTTCAAGTCATTTTCTGAGGGGGACTTTGTATATAGAACTAAGTTTTGCCGATACTACAATATTTAACATAATTATAAACTCAAGAGCCCTTTTCGGGGGTAGGGTTGTATGGGGGCTAGGTGAAATAATGGACCGATTTCAATAGGCTTCGTCGTTGGGCCGAAAAACACGTATGATCCAAATTTCATCAAAATATCTTGAAAATTTCGACCTGTACCTTGCGCACAAGGTTTACACGGACAGCCAGCCGGACAGACGGACAGACATGGCTTAATCGACTCAGAAAGTTTTTTTATTTTTGTGCGTTACAAACATCAGCACAAACGTATAATATCCTCCCCACTATGGTGGTTTAGGGTATAAAAAATATTAAAAAAGTCGTCAATTGCTAACGGATTTTTATAAACAAAGTTGCGTTTTCTCATGAATAGACATGGTTTTCTAATAAATTAATAAATAGTACGGTTCCTATATAAAATAAAAAACATCTCCAAACTTGGTCAACTGTGAAAAACTAAAATAAAAGATATAGATAAAAGTTTGCTGATGAAATTCACACATATCTCTCCAGGTTACTTAAACGTTATATATGTCATTATAAAGGCCTCAGCTTCTGCTTCCTAAATCCGTGGAGAAACTTAATATCGGTTGAGATTCAACTAAGTTACTGACTTATAAGTGCTTAAAGGTACGAAAAACCGGGTTTTTTACCCGTAACTCAAGATTTTGGAGGTGTTTGGCAAATTTCAAAAACATATTCTTGTTCTACACGGATCAACATTTAAGAAAAGTACTAACACTTCCCAGGTATTTATTTTTGTCGAATAGTGTAATTTCTAGACAATGAAAATCCTTGAAAATTTGAACTTCTGCTTAAATTTCTACATTTGAAATTTCAAAAACTTTAAAATACTAACAACACCTTTAAAGGATTTATTCACTTCCCATTACATCTAGACTAAAAATAAAATAATTTTACAATAAATAAAGAACTTCATGTGTGAAAAGCGTGAAATAACAAACAACAAACATATGTATGCAAAAAATTAGCATTTAAAGAATAAATTATCCTGCAAATGAATAGAATAGAAAAAGCACACACACAAACACACAAACAATTTAATATTAAACATTTCCTTGTAAAAATACAAAATACAGAGTTCATTCACCGACTAAAGCATTTGGTTACCAACGAAAACGAAAGGGAATAAGACAACGAGGGGACATGACAAATTTCCCACAGAGGTTATTGAACCTAAAAAAAGCCAACAATAACAACAATGAGGAAAAGCAAACAATAAAATATGAGAAAAATAAAGTTTAGTTAGATATTTCCTACTACTAAACACATAGAGTTCCCTCAATTTAAGCACGGCTAACTAAATTGTAAGAGTGTGTTTGTGTGTGTGTAGAACACCAAGGTCGGGTCATTGAACCTACCACGGCAACATCAACAGCCAACATCAGCAGTAGCTACAAAATAGGAAAAAAGCTAAAACAATTTTACTTTTTTTTGTTGCTGGTAACCAAGAATTTATTACATGGAAATATGTCTACTTATATTTTTTTATCCTGTTGTATTTTACTCTTATTTTAAGTCAACATTAAACGTATTCAAGGACATTTATTGGGAAGAAGAATAAGAACAAAAAGGTAAAATACAAGTGATAGAAAATACAATTATTTACGGAAGAGAATTTTTTTGTGTCTTCTTCTTTTGCATTGAATTCAGGAAGATTGAAATTACTCGTTTTTTTTTTGGCATGGTAAGAGTTAAGGATAATGAAAGCTTTTTGCTTGTCAAAAAATCGAAAAGCTCTTAGTTTTTTAGTTAAGGGAGAGTAGTAGGGAGATTAAATTTGCCGCAGGGTTGTCATAGTTATGGAAATTGGCTATTTTTTGTGATGCTTTTAGTAATAAAATACCCTGGAAATTTCTAAGAATTAATATAATGGGGATGAGTAGGGAGTTAATTGATTAATAAATGATTTTAGTTGACATCTGATGAATTGCTGTTGATGGGTGATAATTGGAAATACGTACAAAGACTTAAAATAAACATTTAAAGTTTTTATATGAAGGCTAAATAAAATTAGATACATTTTTGTATCAAAATTTTCATGGTATTTTGAATAGAGTTTATTGAAAATATGTATGTATCTGCACGTTATGTTAGAGACGTTTTTGACTGTTAGATTTAGATTTTACATCTCGTTTAGAGGCAGTAAAAGGAAGTACACTAGAAATTAGTTCTAATATGTGTGAAATGCAACGCACTGTACGACTAGTCTGATCTGGATTAAAATGCTCTAATGACGGTTCAGTCCTATGGAAACTCTATGGAATTCGCAAATTTGTGTATTTTGTGAATGTGTTCCAGTTGTAGGCACTGTGAGGGCTCTGGTAGTTTAGTGTTATAGCCTGTTAGACTTGAGGTCGTGGGTTAGTTTTCCCAACTGAGGCACTGGTAATGTAACCAGTGCAAAGGTAGCCCAGGGATATTTCTTCGGATTTGTTGTAACATACATACATCCTCTATTCCAACTAACTAACTAACTACTACTAACTAACTAACTAACTAACTACTAACTACTAACTAACTAACTAACTACTAACAAACTAACTCACTAATAACTAACTAACTAACTAACTAACTACTAACTAACTAACTAACTAACTAATAACTAACTAACGAACGAACGAACGAACGAACGAACGAACGAACGAACGAACGAACGAAACGAAAGAACGAACGAACGAACGAACGAACGAAACGAACGAACGAAGAACGAACGAACGAACGAACGAAACGAACGAACGAACGAACGAACGAACGAACGAAACGAACGAACGAACGAACGAAAAAACGAACGAAACGAACGAAACGAACGAACGAACGAAAGAACGACGAAACGAAAAACGAACGAACGAACGAACGAAACGAAACGAAACGAAAAACGAACGAACGAACGAACGAACGAACGAACGAACGAACGAACGAACGAAAACGAACGAACGAACGAAACGAACGAACGAACGAACGAACGAACGAACGAACGAACGAACGAAACGAACGAACGAACGAAAACACGAACGAACGAACGAACGAACGAACGAACGAACGAACGAACGAACGAACGAACGAAACGAACGAACGAACGAACGAACGAACGAACGAAACGAACGAACGAACAAACTAACTAACTAACTAACTAACTAACTAACTAACTAACTACTAACTACTAACTAACTAACTAACTAACTAACTAACTAACTAACTAACTAACTAACTAACTAACTAACTAACTAACTAACTAACTAACTAACTAACTAACTAACTAACTAACTAACTAACTAACTACTAACTAACTAACTAACTAA